TGTCTAAATGCAACACGGTAGTGGAGGAAACACTATCTTTCCCATGCAGTGTTAATTCATTTATGGATTTGAAAATTTCGTTTGCACAAAAAGCGAATGTCTGAAGATATCATCACGCATAACGTGTTTCGTTGTTGCTTCGTGACTCCGTCTAGTAGCTGACGCGAGGTAAAGTTTAATGAAGTTTGATAAAAAATATTATTATTTTTATTATTATTATTATTATTATTATTATTATTATTATTATTATTATTACACAATGGTAGTTTAGCAGTAATGCTCTTATAGATTGTTGAAATTCGGAAATTTTAATTTGTCCAAACTTGTTAAACAAATTACCGGAAAGCTCCTTCATCGAATTATTAATAATATGGTTACAATTCCTACCGTAATGGGATAAACGACAAACACAATGATTGTAATCTATTTAAATATTGTTGTTGTTCACGTCTTTGACTAAATTTTGCACTTAACCTTGTGGTTTGCCGGGGAGGTATCCACTCACTTGAACAAGAACATGGCGAACAACAGGGATCCGTGAGAATTAAGGGGTCTTATATAACCATGAAGACTGTAAGGAGGAGACTCTACTCCGGGGTTGCAGGCATGATAGGGGGATGTATGAAAAACGTCGGCAGCTAAACGGCTCAATTGAACTTCAGCGACAACATGCAATGAATGACGGAACTTACTTCAGCATTTTCGACAAAAACGGCACGCAAACACGTCCTTGACCATCGCCATCGGCCGAAAATGCCTTTAAGATTCTCCCATACACTGCGTGATGTCGCAGAAGTTCAGGTGTGCCATTTACCTGCAGAGGCGTTTCATATCGAGTTGAATTTCCTCCTTTCGTTGATATAACCCACGTGTACAAATTAATGACGAGACTTCGGTGTTCGGTCTATCCGCGTTTCGGACAAAAGAACCTTGAGTCCGCTCAAAGCATAATTTTCAGCGCAGTGTATATCAATATATTTTTTTCACGAACGGTTTGTTGGAAACCAACAGAAAACGAATACAAAACAATTTATTTAAAACAAATAATTTCAATCCAGGAGGCATGTACTGAGAAATTACATTTTAAATACTACCTGTCAATAATCAATTTGCAATTTCTTGGTGTGTTCACGACACAAAAACTACCAAACACATTTAATCTGCGAAACACAATGTCCTCCATACTACGAGTTTCTCTCTCACCCTCTCTCTCTCTCTCTCTCATTCACTCTCCCTCACTCACAATTTTAGGGGCTGGTTGCTGTATTCCAAGAAGATATCGAATTTAGTTCCTCTGACATGTTTCAGCCATTGTGTTCTCAGAATCCACTATCGTATGAATCAAATGTTAAATTTACTGAGTTTCCAATTATTGCACCTTCGTTTTTGTTTTTTTATAATAATTTATTCATGAAAGAATGTGCATAGTTCAGTATCATATATACGTACATCATATGTTTGACAAACTGAATATTAAACTTAAAAAAAAATGAGACATGTGCAGTTGTTGTGGAAAAAAAGTGTTAGGTCTAACTCACGCACGCAACTCATTGACGAGCTCAAACGCATGAATCAACCTTTCTTACTTTAGCACTAGATTCGGCACTGGAGGAAACGATCATCATTTACCCAGCTTCCTATCTGTGCGGTTTTCTAACGAAAACATTTTTCTACTACGACAGGACTTGAACCAGTCATCATCACCACTGCGCGCAGACCTGCAGCCGCTTGAGCCATTAGGCGGCGCCTAGATTTATTTATTGTAGTGAAGTAGAAAGTGTATATGACGTATGGGGGTTTCTTGAGTTCCAGAATCTCTTCCCATCATTTTAACTAAAATAAATAGTTGAAAGAAGAGTAAAAGAGTAAAAGAAGAAGAGTAAAAGTTAAAGATAAATAAATAAAAATAAAATTTAAAAAAGCGCGAGATTAGCGGCATTTGAAAAGAGATTTTTTTCCCGAGACATTTTCGTTCTCGTGTTATAAAAAACGTTTTTGCAACGGTAAACGAACTGCAGATTTTATGCATTGCTAACAAAATAATAACTCCACTCCAACCAGTAAACCAGTAAGTAGTGTAGCTTCACTATGCGCCCGTTTTGTTGAACTCTCTTTTTGCACGTAGTAGCTCTCAGTAAGAAACTATTGAAAAAACCGCACACATAACGATATTTTGTTGAAAAATAATTTCGTCATAGATCTATATTTCTGGTAGCGGTAGAGGTTAGTAATTGGTAGGAAATTTAGTTGAACCACATAGTATCTTTACAATTGAGTTCCTGAAGTTTTCCCTTCATCACTAAAGTTATACATCCGTAATGCGCCTGCACCCAGGGATATTTAATACCTCTGCCTCTGCAGTCACGAGTTCCGGGGCGTGTGATCGCCCGGGCGTGTGTGAGACAGCAGCTTCCTGTACAATTGTGCAAGAACGATTGCAAGAGCGTTTCTAACGCCCTATTCAAACTGTGAAACAGAAATGTGCGTCCCTAAAACTACCAAATTCTACCGCAAAGTGTAGATCCAGTAGCAACATTTTTCATAGCAAACCGGTAGATTTTAAATATTTTTTTGCTTATGCAAAAGTTCTAGCCACAAAAAATAAATTTGACAGCGTATCCTTAAATCGTAAGAAGTAACATGATAAAAAAAGTACATATTGTTTCAGTTGCTCAAACTTTACGACAGAATACGATACGTCCTTTACGATCGAAGATGACGTGCCTCTTTTCTAGCATTCGCCTGATATAATGTATTCATGAAATGAAAGAGTTATGTACGTATTCTTGGTGCACGAAGAATGTAATGTGGAAATGTATGTTTTAATCACGGAATGCAGGCTCGTTGTTCGTGCAAAAAATACTAAATACATTTCTCACGAGTGTGCTCTATTACTCGTCATTCGAGGCTGGAGTTGCATTACAATGGTGGTGTGTGTGCAGGGGAGCGGCTGGTGGACCTGGGCTCGGATCAGACGTCGCTGCACGACCCCTACGGCGGGGGCTACTTCCCCGTGCAGCTCAGCCACGAGGCCGGGCTACGCGCGCTGGCCGAGGACCCCAAGAGCTTCAAGGTAAACCTCCTTCTTCAGTACCCTAGCAAATGGGGCACGGACCACTCGCGATCTTTCCTTCCTCTTCCTTGTTCTACCCTCACCACTTAACCTACATACACTACACAACCACACATGCCGGAGTTTAAAGTTTGTCTCAGCTGGGGCAGTGCCCCGCTGGTGGGAGATAGCTGGATGGAGAAAACCCCAGCAAGCCGATGTGTAGGTCGACGTCGGGTCTTGCCAACCGGACGGAGAACACTGCTTACTCACGTAACAAAACATGCACTACATTTACAGGGCTAATGACCATAGCAGTTTACGCGCCTGGAAACACGAAATAATCAGTCGACTAATCAATCTATTTTCCACCCTGTCTCACTGGTGTAGGTTGGTACACTGGCATTCAAAAGCCGAATTTGCAGGTTCAAAATTGCTGAAGTCTGTGGATATAGTGAATGACGGACAAATCTTCAGCATTGGATGTCATGTTTGTGGAAAATAAAAGAATTGTTCTCGCGACAGGAAACATACATCCTCCAACATTTACCATACTAATCAAATCTCGTATTAGCTACGCCCAGGAAAGACACAGGGGTAAAATACATCCGATATTGTCTCGGCGCGGTGGCGAACTAGAAAATTCCGAACAATTCCGCGCGACTAAGGGAGAGCCAATAGACACGTACCTTAAGTTTGGGAACTTAACAGTAAGTGCAATACATACACAATACTTCTTCCATGCGCACAAAAATACATTATCACGCCAGAGTTCATTACCACGATAATTATTTGTTTTTTGTACAGACGTTCAGTAGTATATTCGTGACACAATCACCAAAAAAATATTTAAAAAACACATTTAACGATAAATATGCGAAATCTGGGTAAGATCGTAGCTCGTGTTTGCGTAGTATGCAATTTCTGTCGTGTGGGAATTATTTTTAGATTTCATTTTACACTACATACATTGCTTTACATATTTTTATAGTTAACATATTGTGAATGCTTATCTTTTAACTTTTCAAGATTAATTTTTATTTCAATGACTATTTCAGTATTGAACGAGCAGTGTTGTAATATATCCATATTATGGAAAATAAATTTATTTAATAAAAATCTGTTCATGTTATAGCTTGTTCAATACCTCTTTTTTTCTATTAATATTGAATACCTGCCGTTATAATCGTATGCAAAACGCTTTTCGTCCCAACTTCTATTAGAATTGCCTTGTTGGTATAGTTAGTTTAATAGCAATTTGAGTAAAAAGTACACAGAATTTTTTTTTATTTAAAAAAGCCAAACTTTGAAATTTACGGATATTATCTTAAAACATTTGAAATGTAACAATTCATTTTAAACATTAGTTTAAATGTGAAGAGACGTACTATTTCATAGGATTTTGCTTTCATTCGAATTATATTAGAACGTCGAATTCAAAGTATGCAATGCCCGGTTGAACTTCAATTACACAATGTTATTATGGAAACAAACCATGCCCATTTCGAAAATAATGCTTCAAAATTCGAAAAAAAAAAAATATAAAAATTGAATTATACAATGGCAAATACAAATTATATACTGAGCAATATGAATTAATTACACGAATTATGGAATGTCAGATTCGAACTTTACAATGCTTAATTTGAATTTTACAATGCCCGATTCGAATCATCATATAGCCAATTCAAATTGTATTGTGTTCAATTTGAATTCCACAATGCTCAATTCGAATTATGCATTGCTCATTTCGATTTGCGCAATGTTCAATTTGAATTATACAATTATCACTTTCATTTACACTACTGTCAATGCGAATTACACAACGATCAATTCTAATTAAACAGTATCCGACTGGTTCAAATCAAATGAAGTGTTCACTGTACACTGAATTTATTCAATACTGTATCAGTCAATATTAATTTACTTGCGGTGGCTGTGTCGGTAGGAGCTGGTGCACGAGTCGCTGCGCCGCCAGGCCGCCGCCGTGAACGCCCTGGCCGCCGCCGGGATGCGCTTCTGGGACTACGGCAACGCCTTCCTGCTGCAGGCGTCGCGCGCGGGGGCGGACGTGCTGGCCGAGGGCAGCCCGGCGGCCGCCGACGCCCAGCGCCCGCCCGAGTTCAGATACCCGTCCTACGTGCAGGACGTCATGGGGTAGGCGATACATTGCAGATCTGCCGCGTACACAGAGAAGTAAAACATCTTCCAAGCTTGGGGTGGCAGTTTCACTGACGGTTCTACCCAATTGTCGGTCAATGGTCAGCTTCACAGTCCGAATGAGTCCATCCAGTCCAAGGCAGCATGTTTTCGGAGAGGAGGGGTGGTAATAGAGAGACCCCCATCTCGAACATATGGTGGGGGACAGAGAGACTGCCGTCAGCAGGGAGACCACGCACAGGGAAGGAGCAGGGGAAGATGCACGTTGAGAAGAAAGCTCACCCTTCAGGGTCGCTAGTCTAAGATGTTTAGTGTTATAACCGTTATGAATGTCTTGAAATTTGTTTTATGAAGGTCTTGAAATCTTTTTTGCATTATTGCGTTTCCTCGCTGTGTTTAGGAAAATTCCGCTAGGTGTGGCTGTGGGAATCTGTGACAAACCTGGATGTTTGATCTCCTCATCTCTTACTTTGCAGTGACGTGTTCTCCCTGGGCTCCAGCCCATTCCGCAAAGTGTGCACGTCGAGATGACAGCCAATCATAAAGCGAAATATTGAGCATTATATCTTGCCATGCAGCAACGTATCGGCAGCCAATCAGGAGGGAAAAACCTGACCGCCATACCTTGCCTTGTGCCAACGTTCTCCCTGGGATTCGGACCGTTTCGCGGGATTTGTACGTCGCGAAGACAGTAAATCAGGGGGTGCGATGCTTACCATCGCGTCTTGCCTTGGAGCAACGTGATACTGGGATACAGCCCGTTCCGCAAGATGTGCACATCGAGGTGGCAGTCAATCATGAGGCGTAATGCTGAGTATTGCAGTGACGTGTTTTCTCGCAGGGCTCTGGACCATTTCGTTGGGTTTGAACAACTGATGCTGACCATCATGTCTTGCAGCGTCTTTTTCTCATTGGGTTTCGGGGTGCACAGCTAGGTGTACATGTCAGGGCCGGTGTACACGTGTACATATGAAACTCCGGGATGCCAAATACTGGTTCTCACGTCTTGCCTTGCAGCAACGTGTTCTTACTGGGACTCGGGCCGCTCCACTGGAAGTGCTCGTCGAGATGTAGGCCAAACAGGAGGCGAGACGGTTTGCCTCTTAGCGATGCCTTGCTTGGCAGGGACGTGTTCCCGCTGGGATTCCGGCCACTTCGTTGGATGTGCACGTCGAGGTGTGTGACAAACACGAAGCGAGACGCTTTACCATCATGCCTCTTGCCTTGCAGCGACGTGTTCTCGCTGGGCTTCGGCCCGTTCCGCTGGGTGTGCACGTCGGGGCTGGCGGCCGACCTGGAGGCCACGGACCGGCTGGCGGAGCGCACCCTGCAGGCGATCGCCGACTCGGGGGAGCTGTCGGCGGACGCCAAGG